TACTAGTAGCGATGCCCTTGTTACTAGTAGCGATGCCCTTGCTACTAGTAGCGATGCCCTTGTTACTAGTAGCGATGCCCTTGTTACTAGTAGCGATGCCCTTGTTACTAGTAGCTTCTTGTTCCTAGTAGTAAGGCCAGGAGCCCCTAGTAGCGTCCTTGCTCCTAGTATCGTTCATGCAGTTCCCAACGCAATGAACCCAGCTGTCGCACTGCCCCACCGTCTCAACGATCGGAGCTGAGATGCACAATACGTCGAGAGAACATCCCTGCAATGAAGACGGTCACATGCTGGGCCTTGTCATGCCTCAGAAGGAGTAACTATATACATGTTATATCTATTCAATTTTATTCGTTGTGTTATTTATGTACATGCAAAATAGGCAGCTGTGAGAGAACTCATCGGCTTTCTCTATCCAAGAAGGCTTGGCAGGTCCTCCCGGTGGGAAGCAATTTTGTTGTCAAGTCAACAGAAAAACTGCTGCTGGTGCCAAGTGTCTCGAAGTATTCCCCAGGATAATCCCGGCTCCAGTTGATGAACCTGCTCAGCCAAGTTATCCAGATTTGCAGCTTTTGTGTTGTTTTGATTTTCTCACAGCGCAAGCTTGTGGGACTGTCTAACCGCAGCTGCCAATTTGAGATCTTCAAAATTGAAAGATCAAATTGATTGAAGATCAATTGTGACGTGGTTCCCTCAACTGCGACGTTCTTCTATATCAATGAAGGGCTTTGGCTTTGGTTCAAGGTGGGCGTCGGCCTTCCAAAGACATCCAGATTCGTCTCGTCGCCAGGCTCTCGTGCCAAAGGCGGGGCGGTTTCTCGCAGCAAGGTCTTGGCACACTCCCAGACCGATCTGAGCACGGGAGCTGTCGGGTTTTGGAATCATCTTGAACTTGAGAGAGGAGGGGGGTGAACGAAAGGTAGCAGGGAATCAGGCGCAATCCGGGAGGAGGTGAGAGGCCCCCCACTTGTTTGAAGAAAAGTGACTGAGCGTGATGAAAGAAAAACTAATGCACAAACTAATCACAATCACGTCACATATTTCTCAAATGCAACTTCGGATTTACATAGTGACGTGCTGCGACCCTGTAAATTGCGTGGCCGCAGGCCATGCTTGCAAACAGGACGAGCTCAAAAACACTGGTATTTACGAGGCTTTGTTGCCGTCGATCCACAGCCGCGGCAAGGTCTAAGGCCACGCTTGAAGACAGGAGGAGCTGAAAACACTGGTATTTACGGTGTTTTGTAGCCGTCGATCCAGAGGCGCACCACGGTTGTGTGCTGGAAAAGCGCAGAAAACCGTGTAAATACCGGCGTTTTCTGCCGGGAAGGTGCACAAAACCCTGTAAATACCATAGTTTTGTGCAATTTTGAAGCCTCCAAAAGCCTCAAAATCCCTTTCCGACAAAATCTTTCCTGGCTTTTGGTCTTTCTTCGGTCATTTTTCAAACCGAGACGCATCAAAAACCATCGGTTTTTGCGGTGTTTTTTGCCGGACAGCCACAAAAAACGCTGTAAATTCCATGATTTTTTGTCACTGTTGAGGACTGGAAGAGCTGAAAACACTGATATTTACAGTGTTTTCGGACCGTTGACCCCGAGGCGCACCAGGGTGGAGTTGAAAGGGGGGGGGGGGGCCCCCCCCCCGGCCATCAAACGAAGATGTCGGGGACCATTTCTCTGAGAGATAGGCTCCAGCTCTGAGTATAATACATTTTTGCTAAAGCAAAAGGAAAACTCAGGTAGCGTAACCGCTACCTTTCGTGAAAAGGGTGAAACCATATTCCAAGTTAAGTTGATGGGACTTGGGAGGTAGGCTGTGAGGAGGAGTGAGCAGGTAAGTAGGTAGCTACTAGTAAGTGGCGCTACTACGTAACTATGTGTGGCCACTACTGATCGGACGTTAAGGGCCTCAGGGTCAATGATTTAGTTCGATGTTTGCGGACACTTAACACGTGAAGCGGTTGAGCACAGATTCTGTCACATCCCCGAAAAGAGCTGGTTGAGCTGATCCTCATGCATTATATTCACTGACTGCATCACCTGCAAAACCTGTGCAAACGAACGACTTCAACACAACGGGTGAAACCTTCGACTTCTCCATTTTCGGGGAGCAAGGACGCTACTAGGGGCTCCTGGCCATACTACTAGGAGCGATCGGACAGCTACGAACGGGGCTCCGGCCCATCGACCTTTTTGGCCCGCTCCCGTCGCCTCTGCATGGTCTCATCCAACTGTCCAAAGCCCGCCACCTCCGCACCGCTGCGCTTCAGCAGCAGCAGCAAGGGGTCTGTTGGATTGAGCCCCATGGCCTGGACAGAGAACAGAATGGACGATGTATTGTGAAAAGATCCGCAACAGCGATGCATTGGTTCAAAAGTAATTACCAAATATGAAGTGACCAGAAGATCCATTTATCAAGCTTCTCTTAAGCTTGCAACCAAAATGTGTTTCAACCATCTGTTCATCAACGGCGGAAAGCTTCTTATGGCGGCAAAAGCCAAAGAACTTTTGCAAGAATGACAAGTTCACCTGCTCATTCCATCTCATTCAAATAGATCCACGATGAATCACGATGATCCACATCCTCATGTGCTGCGTTCGAAGTGCCTCGAATTCCTCCTTCGGAGTGGCCGCCAGGACCGAGCGCAAGGTGTTGTGTGTCCTCGAGTCCTCTCATCGAGTTGATCTGTGCTTCATCAAAGGATTCTTAAGAGACTTGAGACGTGATCAAAGAATATCAGAGGTTGGAGGCCATCGCTCTTAGGTTGGAGTGGAGTGATTTGACCACTCGAAGAGGAATCAGCTTGGTCTGTTTGAGCGTCCTGTGCCAGGCGTAAGACATCCAACTGCAAATGCTCTGACAGCCGACGAAGTATGCAACCTTCGCAGGTCTTCCGAGGGAAGAAAAGCAACGGTCTAAAGTGTCTGTCGTCTAAGAAGGTACCTTTCCATACTTTTCCCTCTGTGATTAAAGGTCACGACCAAGCTGAACATTGCTAAATTGAAGTTTGAAGTTACTATTCCTTGCTCCAGCCCGTATGCCAGGAATCTTTGCGCAAAGTGGTTCAGGGTGTTTGCTACCACAGTTACTACATATTACTACCACAGTTACAGGTCACTGCGAAGCCGATGTCGTGAAACTCTCATCGCCGAGCGACGCTGCCGCAACGAGAGCAGTCGTGAGAGGTACTTCCGCAACAAGCGCCCGACGAGCAGGTCGCGCGCCTGCTCGCAACTTCATCAGGCTGGAAAAGCAAGTTAAAGCGCCCCCTTCTCCAGACATCGAGCACCAAAAAAACGTTCCAGCACACACACGCTCCTCTCACTCCACATCCATTTTCTGGATGATGGCCTCCCACGGAAAGAAGACGTTCCGCAGCACCGTGTTGTCGATGGCGCTGCGCCTCGCTTTCATATCCAGCGCTACTTCTCACCGCTCAACTGGGGCGTTGCCATCTGGGTCACCGGGCCCCTGCTTTTGGGCCACTCCACCGGTGGCCACATAAGACTTGTCACTGCCACTCCGGCCTAGGATGTTCACCGAAGTCGGACATGTCACAACCGATCTTGGACAACGTCCAGTTCTGATTTCGGGTGTTTACAGAAGGTAAAATTGACAAGTTCTTCATGGCTCACAACCACAAACACAGAAAACAAAGCGAAACCGAAACCGTTCACAACCGTGACTTGACGATCACCATCCAAACCATTACCGGGACAACATCCGACCATGACTTTGACACACACACACACCATGACCAGGACACGCTCCAAAGCATGAGCGAGACCATGCGAACCAATGACCGGCCGGGACAAGGAGACGCGACGCCCACCAGCTCTGCCCGGCTCTGCCGGAAACAGATTGCATTTCATAGCATTTCTTTATCCAATTCCACTAGGTCCCCCTTCTTTCCAACTCTAGTCGCGGCCTCCACCTAGTAGCTTGTTACATTGAAGCTTCAAAGACATACTAAAGAGATCTAAAAAGCTTTATTGTTGCTCCAGGTCCACTAGGTCCACTTATATCCACTGTCTTTAAACTCTAGGGCCTCAACTAATCAATGCCTTCTTGCGGGCATCACCGTCAACCACTACGGCCCAGCCATCAGGGCTAGGATCAATGGGCCTTGGCAGAATGTCACAGCGATGTTGAAGGCTGAAGACTTTGGGGTCAGATTTCGCTTAGGTCGGTATCCTGCAATCCGTCTCGCGCAAACACCCTCAGGTAGACCTGAGCTTCAGCACAATTTGTCGTATTTGTAGGCCGTGACACCCAAGACCTCCATTGCCTGCATAGCAAAAAGGAAAGCTACAGCGGAGCACAGCTTTTGTAGTTTCTTTTCTGAGCACCTGCAACAGAAAACTGATCTTACCTGTCGTTGTTTTGCTTGCCATCTCATGCGTCTGAGTCGTTGTCGTTTCTAGATTCTAGATGCCCGAAATCGTTTTGACATCAGTAATTAACGGAACCTCCACAAACCACGCATAGAGGATGCTGAGGTTGCCCCCTCTGTCAGTGCCATACCATAACTCCTCGGAGAGCTTGGTGCAACGTTTGATACATCGATGGTGACTCGTGAAGCACGAGCCCCTTTGGAAAAACATAGTCGGAATTCATGCCTTAGGGCCTAAGCCCCCAAGCCTATACAGGTGATTCCTGACCTAAGCACCACTCATGGCACCCAGACTTCTTCATGGAAGTATCTCTGAATTGTTTTCCAAGGCTCGGTAAGATGCATGATGTAGTGTTTCAACTCCACAATTTGGTGGCCCTGGCACCATGCGGAGAATCAAGCTAATGGGAGGAACAATCCGTGCCTATCTCGACCAAGCTTGAGAAGAAGGAGGTATTGCTCGAAAGAGAACCAGGTGTACATGGACAACCCTGTTTTCTACGACGGGCTATTGAAAGGTTCCTGCAGATGTTTAAGGCTTCCCTTGACCTCTTGACCTCATGGGTTGCGCACAAATATTTGATGAGATATCTGCACATGTGAAATGAATTGAAACGAGTGTTGACTAAAAACACGCCCTTTAACAGAAAAGGGGTGCAAGTTACAGCGTCTTGATCATTTGACCTTCTGTTAATTCAGTATAATTAAATCTATGTGAAGGTATCCAGAAAGAGCCTTTGTGATTGACCCATCAATTGGTAGGTCAAAGGTCCTGGGTCCGTACTCCCTGAGACACCATGGTCGCAACCTCGCTGAATTCGACCCCCAGACTGCGAGGGTTCCAAGCCGCCATGAGCCATATGACGAGCATGATTGCCTGGCCTGAAGAGGAAAACAGTCGTGAATCCTCAGTGCAAATCTGCAGAATCTGCAACTTCTGTGACTCCTCCGCATCAAAATTGCATCTCTCCGGTGCACAGAACAGCGTGACATTTAAGACTTTAAGAATCAGCCACTCTGCTCGACTGCAGAGAATTCTCTTCCTCTGGGCCAGACCGATACTTGGCTTTCTGTCGGCGTTTGATCTCCTGAGCAGCTCACATGCGAAAGAATATCTTACGACGGACCTAAGAAACTTCACGGTAACACCGACGAAAAGATTCCCTCTCTTTTGCTTCCCTCTCAACAGCTAAGTTGGCTTGCATAAAATCCTTGAAGAACCGGCCACCAATGGGCAATGATGAGTTTTCCCCCGTCCTCGGTGAGCTGATCCAAGCGATCTCGCAAGGGGGTCCACAAAGCCGCCTGCATAGGGCTCAGTCAGTGAGGCTCAGTGTGGAGGGTCTATGTCAGTGATGTTTTAGTGATGAATTTGATTTGAGTGTTGTAACTGCATCATTTTGCTTGTCAGTAAAACACTTGATACAACAACACTTTAGCTTGCTGTTCTTTCTTCCAAAGTAAGTTCTGGGGCATCGGGGAGGTTATCACCGTTGGCACACGTTGGCACCATGTCTTGCTCAGGATCAAGGGTAGAGTTAGAGTTACTGGAAATTGGTGGTTTTGGTCACATGTGTTTCAAGTTATATACATGAAAAGTTCCGAATGCACCTGGAAGTGTGCTCGAGGTACGGCACCCAACTCTGTGAGGTCAGATATGCCTATCGGGGGCCTCAGGCATATCGGCATATCGGCGTCGCGAATCGTGTTGTGGTCTGCAGTACACCCGTACAGTATCCACGGAGGTGCTTCAAACATGTCAGTGGGAAACTCTTCAAACACCTTGCTCTTGGTAGCAATTGAACCGATTGGATGGATTGTTCAAAAGCAGTCAAAAAGGAAAAAAACAACATGAAAAAACTCACGAAACCACACATCGAGGTACCCTGAGAGCTGAGAATGAATTATGTACTACAACTTGCATGTGTTCTCGTTCTCAAAAAGAAAGGAGAATTTCTTCGCGTTTCACATGCGTTCACATTCGTTTCATTCTGACAGCGACGGAGTCGTAGTGAGCCACAGCTGCGCCAACAGGCTGATGGACCTCGACCGGATGGAGACAAAGGCCAGCGAAGGCACAAGGCAACACGCGAAAGCCAATGAAAAGCGAACGCTAGGCACTCAAAAAATCAAAGAGGATCCACGAAATGCATTCCTCTTTTTCTAAAATGGGAAATGTTATCTAGAGCAGGTTCCTTCGGAACACGCTTTGAGGGTGATATGTGAGAAAATGTGACAACTCGACACGCTTCATGGGCACTTGATACAAGTGCTTTGAGCACTTGAGACAAGATGGTCCAAATCGAGGGAGATCTTCTGGATGGTGCTGGTGAAGCCAGAGCGCTGCCAAAAGTCGGGTTTCTTCTTGCATCCACATTTCTTCTTTGGGCATTTGCCATTGATGCAAGACCATCCATAGCCATCACAATCGTTTACACAATTCTTGAAAAAGGAAACAAAGCCACAGCCGTGGCAAACCCAGGAGTGTCGACCACCACAGGCCGAGCAGTTGGCATTGGAGCCAGGGTTCACGGTGCCACAGCTCACCTCGATCTTCTTGGACAAACAAAACTCTTTTACATCCACTGCCATGGCGGACATGAATTGATCTACTTTTTTCTGATCCTTTGCCTCATCTGCTCTTTTTCGATGAAGTGTGAAGGAAATCTTGGCATCTTGTTCCTCCTTGGCCTTTTTCTTCATCTTCTTCTTTTTGAGGTTTTCACCAGAGAGCCACGAGACAAACTCTTGCAAGTCAATGACACCATCCCCGTTGACATCAATCTCGCCCATCATCTTGTTGAGCGTCACCTCCGTGAACTTCGGATTCACCTGCTGCAACACGTCCTTCAACTCTTCTGAAGAGACTGTGCCGTCTCCATCCTTGTCCCATGCCAAGAAGGTCTCCACCAACTGGCTGAGACCTTTGTCATCACAGTCCACGACGGTGACGTTCGAGGCCTGCATGTGGAGGCTGAGCGGGAAGTGCTTTGACTCCAGCGTAGCCGTTTTGTCCTTCAAAATATCTTTGATTGCAATGCCCTCGCCACTTGCATTCGTGGTGTGATATTTCAAACCTTCCTCTTCCTCTTTGAAGCCTCGCCTTTTTAAGAGCTTGCTGACCTCTGCTTTCCAATCTTCACTCCAACTGACTTCCTCTGCTTCTTTTTGAATTCCTTTCTGGTATGTGGCTTTCACCTGGTCCAAGGTCGCCAAGTTGTCCGAGACCAACCAACCAACATCTGAAAGGTGGACGTCACCAAATTGGTCTTTGTCGCACTTGCTGTACAGCTCTTCTGCTACAGCTCTGGAAAACCCCGCTTCCATCTTGGCCTTCACAAAAGCATCTCGACTGAGGATCAGACCTTGCTCTTTCTCAGCCTGTCTTTGGGCCTCTTTGGCGGCTTTGGCTTCTTCCACCGCTCTCTTCTCGTGGAAAGCGGCCAGGCGCTCCTCCGTTTCCGAGATCTTGCGTTTGTTCTCGGCCACGGCCATGTCCAGCAGCACTGGTCGATAGTTCTCAGTCGACCTTCCATCGTGACCGTTCACCCAACTCCAGAACTCCACGATGGAAAGCTCGCCATCCTTGTTCTTGTCGAACTCTTCGATCAAAGCTTCAACCTCCTTCTCCGTCCAGGAACTCAAACCCAGCAAGACCTGCTTCAGCTCCTCCACATCGATCTTGCCGCTGTGGTCAGCATCTAGCAATTCGAAAATGAGCTTCACTTCCTCTCCCTCACTCTGAGGTTCTTGCATGACACAAGCTGCTCGCCGACAAGTTCTCGAAATGCAAGGTATGCCATGTCCACAGGGGGACTTGGCTTGGGCCAAAGCCACCAAAGCAAATCAAAGCAGTTGTCCTTTCTTTTCCTTCAAAGTTTCCTCCAAAATGCTCTGTTGAACCAACCATTCTGTGAGTCAGAGTCAAGCTTCAATCCCAAAATCGGAATCAAGAAGAATCAAAGGAACATAAAGAAAAACATGGAACAAGAAAGCCACGATTCGACTCAAAAAGGAACAGCCAAACAACCAGCTCCACATAACTTCTCCCTCTTGGTCCTCTGGGGTTCCAACGCTGCACTTGTCGGCAGAAAGGCCAAGCTCGCAGCAGCCTGGGGCAGATCGTTCTCTTCGAAGAATACCGAGCATACCACAAAAGCTCGGCAACTGGCATGTCATGGCATGTCTGCATTGCACTAAGCGACGAATGCCAGTAATTATAACGTGCGTCAGAGATACGTGTATACTCAAGGTTTTTCTTCCGGAATCACTCAAGGTGTCACCCACGATGATTCCCACTCAAAGCACTTTCTTGTGACACCTTATTCGTACCAACTGACCGGTGTGAAACATTGTGAAGCTGGGGCAATGGCATTGGAGCTTCCGTGCAAGCTGAAGTGGCTCAGGCCTGGCGCCGCTTTGAATGTGACGAGGTGATGGTGTGCAGTGCAAAAAGCAGTTTGGAGTGCCAAAGCCGTTGTTTCCACACCGGTCAAGATGCCGTCAAGAGAACGAGGAGAGAGGGGGAGAGAGGGAGAGAAAGAGACGAGACGAGACGAGAAGAGAAGAGACATGGAGGGAGGGAAAGAGAATGGCAAGAGAAGATGAGAGAAGTGCCTCTCTCACAAGAGAACAAAGTCATGACTTGCACCTTGCGAGCGATGCTGCCCGTGATCGTCGGTAGCTCTCCTCGGCAAAGCCCACCACTGCACAGGGGAAACTCCGCTGCGAGTGTCGTTGGGCATGTCGTGTCGCCTTGAAGACTAATGACTTTTGGGGAAAAGAATTTATCCATCAAAATCAATCCAGAATCGATTTGGATTTGGCTTACTGGACTGGCTGGAGTTTAGACAACAAAGGCATGCCAAGCGTCTTGGAGACCGACTTGCTTGCAATTCCTGCAGAGCACAAAGATCAGACACGACAAAGAAGCTACTAGTAGCTCCTGGCATTACTACTAGGAACAAGAAGCTACTAGGAACAAAGGGCATCGCTACTAGGAGCAAGGACGCTGCTAGGGGCGCTCCTGGCCTTACTACTAGGAACAAGAGCTCCAACGGACAGGACTGACGGGACTGACGGAGTCCTCGGCTATCCTCCACCTACCAAACGTGGCCAGGTCTGTGCGTCTCACAATGTCTCACGTGTCCAACTTGAAGCTACTAGTAGCAAGGGAATCGCTACTAGTAACAAGGGCATTACTATTAGTATCTATTAGTAGCAAGAAGCTACTGGGTGGAGGCCGTCGCTTTTGGAAGCCATTTCTGTCGTTTTCAACTCTCCGATGTCATCCGATATCTTCAAACTCGCCTCCACGAGTCTGCAAATCTTGAGTCCAACCCCTTCTTCAGGGACGACCTGAAAAGTCGTCAGTGTGCGAGGCGACTCAACCCGAAAAAGAAAAATAAAATGCTGAGAGAGTCGAGTGTGCTCTGAGGATGCAGCAACTCGAGGCTGACAGTTCTCCCAAGCTTCCTCGAACGGGAAAGGACATGTCTAGGAGTCTAGGCTCATGTCAACCACTTGTGGACCTGTCCAACTTTACAGAGCTCAAGCTTGACCGTTCTGTTTTCCTTTGGTCCTTCAGAACTACATTGAGACAAAACCGAGAGACAGAGTTCACAAGGAAGGAGAGGAGTTTGATGGGTCCGGCAAAAGCCGAGGGTTGTGCAAATGTCAGAAGTTGTCAAGCAGTCCACAGGTGTTCAAGGAATCGTCGATTTCTCTCCCGTCAGTGCATGGCGATCTCGTCCTGATTCAGAAGCTCCTCCTCTGACAGCTCTCCCTGCACCGCCAGGTCTATCAGAAAAAGTGCAGCAAATCAACAGCACGTGAAGCACATGGCATGATTTCAGAGTAGAATCTACAATCTACAAAATCACAAAACCATTGTCATTTGGTCATGTCTCATGTCTCCTTTGGCAATACTGAGCATGGCTACTCCTTCTGAGGATGATTATTGGATCAAGAACGCGTCCGTGTCTACCCCTGACATGACCGGGAAGTGCCTGGTGCACCTGCTTTCCAAAGGAATCGCCTCGCTTCAGAATAGCTACCTTGCCAAAGAGCTGAGAAAGACTTCGAACATGACAAGTCGACCTCTCTTGAAAAAAGAGCTATGTACTATGTACCAAAAGGTTTCATGGACATCTACAAACCAGGGACGATGCAAACAACACCTCTGAGACCATTGATGTGCGGACATGTCAAATCATCGCAGAGGCACCAATCGACGAAAAACTTGGTCAAACTGGAAACATGAACGGAATGGTCCTCCTGGAAGTTTCACCTTTACACGGCAACCCCAAAAACAAATTTGGAAGGAAGACAATCTTGAGCACGTTCGCGCTCCGATGGAATTGCTCGGACTCTACGGGAATACGAGGAAATAAGCCACAAACATGTCCATGGCCCAACCCCAGCTCCAACACCCCCATCTTGTCCAACCCTACACCATCGTTGGCGTTGACCGATAAGCTTCAATGCGAAGACCAACAAAAACCAACTTCTCCGACGCCTCAATGCTCTCTCCCGAGTCCTTGGAGAATAGTGTCTTCCCATCCGTGGCAGGGAACTTAAATCACAACGAGGGATGAGGGTCTACAGAAAAGCGACTTCGGAACACACCTTGCAGTCACTGAAGTGTGAATAATTTCTTGTCGCGTCTGGTGTCAAATCAGAACAATGTCAACGAATGTCAACGAATTCAGCATCAGAGCTGCCCCCTTCTAGGTGGCGACAAGACCACAGAGGCCTCATAGGGCTTAGATGGGATCTGGGCAAAAAAAGGATTGCCCTGGCTGAAAGCAAAGTGTCAGGAAAGTTGTAGTGGCTATTTGATGGATGATTCACAAGCGGGACACGGCCCATACATTCAAACTCAAAACAAACTGGTCCAATCACCTTTTGCAAAGTCACAAGACCATCAGAAATCGTAATCAGATCCAGAAACTAATTGTGATTGTCCTGCCTGACCGAAGAGGACAAGGCATTGGCCGCTGAACCAGGCCTGGCACGTCACAACCATAAATCTGGAAAAGCTTGGATCGAAAGTGCACACTACACATGTACCAGGGAACCCTTCTTTAAGCTGACAGTGACTGCAATCCACCCAAAGCTATAGCAGGTCTGATTGGATCATTGAAAGCCCAGGGATAAATACCACTCGCGGCATGTGCGCCATTCCAACTTGCGAACGTTGTATTGGGAGGTCGCCAACTTGTTCATCCTGGAGCTATCACGGTATGGTGATAACGGGTGAAAAATTACGACAAACTACACAAATGCGATGGCCTCCAACCTAAGAGCGATGGCCTCCAACCTAAGAGCGATGGCCTCCAACCTAGAAGAAGCGATGGAAACCTAATTGTTCCTAAGGAAACCTTGTAAAAATGTGACTTCCCGGACTTCCCTCATCAATTTCTCGCCCACCTTTGAACCTTCAAGCACTGCTCCAGGCGGCAGATGCTCGATTGCAGCCTCGGGGATTCCACAATTAAGCTCTGTTGGGATTGTAGCGCTCACTTCCTCTGTGGCCCTTTCACATCTGGAAATCAACGATTTGAGCAATTATTGTGGTTCTTCTGGTTCTTTTGGTTTTTGACGTGCGCAGCTGGAGACCCGGGCAGTCGCTGCCAAGGCCTTCCGGACACGCACACAAAGCGCCCGCAGCTGGGTGTTGCGAGCTTGGTCGATAGCCTTCATCACCTGCGACAGCTTGGTGCCGGAATTTCCCAGGCTCTGCGGCAAGGCACCGAGACGGTAAAATTTCATGTGATTTCACTGAATACCATTGAATCACGTTCGCTGTCCTAAGAAAAATCAGTTCATGTTTTAAAAGTTTCAGAATCTCAGTTCGTGGGGCTCCATGCCAGGCATTGTGGGTTTTCATCTAATCTATTGCGCTGCCGTCTCTTAAGCTGTCTGGTTCCGACGGGCGGCCGTGATCCTTTCAGAGCTGGGGAAGGGACCCTGAGAGAATCAAAACGAATCAACTGACGGCAAGGACAAGAGGTTCCCCGAAGTGTTAAATTGGTAGTGCTGATCTTGGATAGTGTGAGGGTTCGCAGGGCCCCTGCTGAGAAGGTTGCAATCAAATTTTTGAATGGTTATCTTGGGCATCGATGCGCGCGAACATATCTCAAAAATGTTTGCATATGTTGAAGCTTATCAGTGGTTTTCAATGAGGAGTTGTATGTGTGGCACGGACGCAAGTTGCTTGCGATTTTATTGTCATCATTGTTGGGCATGTGCGAAAAAAAAAGACACATGTCCATGTGTTCCAACCCATATGGTTCGTTTTGAAAAATGAATCGGTGCAATATACATGTTAAAGGCAATGTATTCTGAGGGTGTCCAAAATGACGTCCGAGGTGAGTCGGGTGGCTTGCGTCTTTTTCACAGCCACCGCAACACATTGGGATGGTGGACTGAGGCCGTTCGGAAGTTCGCTTTCAAGCGAGACAGGGCCAGTGCATCCAGAACACTTTCTAGACCAGGCCTTTGTTGAGTCTATGAACTGCCAACAGGTTTCGATGTTCAATTGGACCAGAAGGAGAGGTAATCGACAAACTGGCCCAGCATAAGGGTATCCTCGCAGAGCCTTCGCAGAAACGAGCGAGAATGCTCATCGAAGCCAGCTTTAGGAGTGCTATCCAGAGGAATGAAACAAAACGAAGATTGGAAACTCCGGGAGTCGAGGAGGCTCCAGAAACTTTCGCCGCTGGCTGTAGAGCGGCCGAACCATCGACTGCAGTCATGTGGTGTCCTGCTTTCAACTTCTTTTGAACTTTCGAAAACAAGTCCGCTGCAGCATGGTGGTCGGTTTGCGCCACTCTTGGCGGGAAAGGCAAGATGCAATACCTCTTGGTATGAATTCGACCGTGGAGGCTTCGCATTTTGAAGATCAAATGACGTCTTTGCGTATGGTCTTCGTTGGGCTTTTCACAACGAGCTTCTTGAGGGCACGTTTGGGCACAAAGGCACCTTCAATATAGAAGGCGCGGACCATTCAACTTTTGCGCGACGAGCGAACCCATCTGTCTGCTAGCCCCGCATCTATTCACGGAAGTTCTGAATAAGTCGTAACAAACCAGGAACAGAATCAAAAAAAGACCATGTCCCCGAGCGCTGCTGCTTTATTGACTGTCATGAAAAGCACGGCCCCTTACGTATCGTGAGAGGGCCGCGCTAAAGCTGGAGGTTGACGCTGCTTTGAAGTCTTTTTGAGCTTCGTCTTCCAATTTTCGTGGAAGACCTCATGCCTTCAGTAGGTTCTTCTGCGTCGTCTGCGCAGAAGCGTCCTTGGGGTTTGGAGTTCCCAGAGATGAGAAAGAAGATTCGTGGCTACCAGACTCTCGACCTGACTACTCCTGAGCGGCCTGCCTGTGATGCACTGTAAATATGGGCGCAGCGCCTAGCGGGCTAGACTAACGTCCATGTATCCTTCAACACTTGAGCGAGCCGTTATAAGCAGCGCATCGGAAGCCGAGTCATGACAACAGCCATCATAGCCCTCACCGGCCCAAAAAACGATTTTCTTTTGGTCAATCCTGTTCTGTCCCTTGGTCCGTCACTTCCGTTTCTTTGACTTGCTTCGCTTGCTCGTCACTTTCTGACAGCACTCCCGGCCACCCACCTTCTCTTCATGTTAGCTGCAAGCTACCTCTGCTGTATGATATGTAACAAGTAACAAGAAGCTTCTAGGAACAAGTGCCTTACTAGTAGTAACAAGTGCCTTACTAGTAGCAACAAATTAGCAATTAAATTAGAACTAAATTAAAGGTTGTGCCAACTTTCTGCAGTGCTCTCTCTCGATGCGTCGCCGTCACCAAGTCCGGCAGAGGCATACAATGTTAAGGCGCTTAGGACCACAGGCAACAAAGCTTGCAACAAAATGCGCATGTGTGCAATGATCTGTACATTTCAGAATGTCGATTGTCCCTTCGAGATTCTTTCATTTAAGTTACGCAAGACTTGCTGACATTGCAGGTGAGCTTCTTTGCCTGATTCCATATCGTCGCTCACCCGGGATCTTCCTGATGTATTGGTATGTCAAGATGAAGGTCCCTCGTGCGTTGCAAAGTTTGTGCTCAGGAGCACAAAGACAAGATGTGCAATAAACGGCGCCGTGGAGCTAGCTTTTTGTTTTTTCCTCTATTTGCCGCCCTCCCGCCCTCCCTACTTAATTAAGGAGAACTAGTTCGCCGCTAGGCTAAGTTAGCTACTACATGGACGCAGGACAGCTCCTGCTTCTTCAAGGAAGCTCCCCCCGCCTGAGGGTGGGGGGAAGCTTCGTTGAAGAAGCGCTCGCACTAATCATTTGGTTCCTTTGGGAAACCTAGTATTGATGCCTTTGACTCAACGAAGCTCCCTGTCAAGCTTGGGCCGAGGTCGTGGTTGTTGCTGGGCCCAATGGATGGTTGCCTGGGATGGTCTTGTTCCTTGACACAATTAATCTCCGTGCACATAGGCTCAACCCAGCATTATCAACGCAGCACTATTTATGCCCCACAGGTGTTCAATGGCTGCTGTTTGTGAAAGCGTCACACCAACGGCCTAAAGCCCCGACCAGGCAGCCTGCCAAAGACCGCCCTATCAGCCCTGCCTCCTCCTTTTGGGCTGGTAGCCTGCCAACCTCTACAGGCCTCAAACACATGCATCATGGCACCATACTTGAGAACTCTTGGTTTGGAGTTTAGAGGGACAAGGTGGTTGGACGTGAATCAAAAAGCTTCGCAGAGCTTCGTAGAGCATCCCGCAGGTTTTCTGACACCGGTGTACCCTGCGGCATCAAATGTTTGGCATCAACACGACAGAGTCTCCCACTCGAGATGCTGAGGCAAGTCGATGGTCACCTCCTGGAAAGCCAACTAGAGGAGACTGCTTCAAGCACGACATCCTAAAGCTCTACCGACTGCCGGACCGTACAAGTAGCTCAAAAAGAGCTTGTTTGAAGAAATGACCTTCGAATGGAAGAAGACCAGAAACCCACTCGCAGACAATCTCTCCTTCTCGACCTTCTCAGGCAATTCGACATGCTCATCCGTCTGAACGACATACCTCGCAAAGCAGACCAACCGAAGTGGCGATCAGTGGCAATTGGTACACCCGAACAAAGGAGAGCTGTTGTTTTAATCTAGAGAGCGGGGGGGTCGGGTCGGCCGTGAGGAGGCTTAAAGCTTGAGTAAGCGAAGAAGTAAGGGGTGAGTAGACTTTGAAAGCTGTTAGGCTTGGACGAAGCCTCAGCCTTAATGATTTGGTTCGATGCTGGGGAAACTTAACGAAGAGTGCACCATTCACCGAACGAGAACGAAATCCCTTGCATGTATTTGCATTCCTGATTCCTCGAACTGGGTACCCAGAATCAACAGGAGGCCATCCCTATTAGGTTGGAGGCCATGGCTATTAGGTTGGAGGCCATGGCTATTAGGTGGAGGCCATCTCTATTAGGTTCCATTTGCTAGTAGGTTGGAGGCAGCAAAGATCAAACCAGGGTGTCGCACTTGGCTGATGCGCCACAGCCCATGGCCTGAGCGACCCGACTGGTCTTAGTCTGGTTTCAAAACTGACAACAGCCGCGATGATGAAGACGACGGGAAGGACGGCAAGGATGAGGATGACACAATTTCTATAACATCCTTCATCCTTTCATGGATGTCTCCCGCAATCTTCTGTAAAGCTCGGCTGGGAAGCGCACCGGGTGTCTAGTCCGCTTCACGGGCAAGCACCGACCATATCATCATGTTTAAAAGCTCTTCACGTGAGTCTCCCAATCGCTATTAGGTTGGAGGCCATCGCTAGTAGGTTGGAGGCATAATTGAGTTCTCAGATTTTCCTGAAAGGGGTCAGGAAAGGCTGCCCGTTTCACAATTCAAGACCTGTCAAACAGCTTTAGCCAGTCCAGAGCCGTTGTGATTGAGCCAATTTGCAAAATGTGTTTCGCTTGCTTCGGTGTGGCCTGTAGAACTTGTCCTGAGAACTGTTCCGAAAAGGGAACACGTTTGCCCGAAAAGCTGAGTGCAATATGCGCTGCTGCTGTCTTGTGCAGAGAGTGAGACGACGACAGGACAGTGTGCGTCTCGTCGCCAAAGGCGCGGTTGAAAGACAGAAAGCAGAGCGAATGACCAAGGAAACCAGTCAGTCTAGAAAGGTTCAAACACGCTAAGAGCTTAAGGGCCTATTTCTATTGTTACGTAGAGAACTATATAGAACTATAGGCAAGAACTTGCGCAGAGCATAAGAATCACAAGACTCGTTTCAACCTGGCACAAATCTTCGCCCCAAATGGCAGACTTTGCTGCCGTCATCAGAAGTGGATTTGGGAGGCTCCCAAACGTCGTTGGCACACTTCGGTACCTTTCACATCAGCGCGCAATTGTCCAGCGCACTTTTGCAACCTCCAATCCCCACCTGTGCAGGCTGCAACAAAGGACAAACGACACATTCAGTGTCGTTTCAGCGGTCGTCTTTTCAGTGCGACATGCCTTGGGATCTGCAGCTTCATCCTGAAACAAGGTTTAATGATACAAGAAAATCTTGAAGCAAAGAGCTAACCGGCTGTTCCACCTCACAGATCTTGGAGTGCTATATATTCTGTTCATATCTCTGGACTCTGGACATCACCAAAACCCGAAAAGCTGAGTGCACCTCACAACAAGAAATTGAGTGCCGCTTGAACATATCTGGTTCAGTTGTGCTGAAATCACCCTGCAAACCCAGAAAAGAATACGTATGCAAGTCATCTATGGTCTGTAGATGACTTGCAAATGAATATAAATTCAGTATATTAAAAGCCAATATATACAGCTATATGGCTATTTATATATATATATATATATATTTATTTGTAATTATATATGCATGGCAATTCATCATCACCAGCTCAGGTGACAGTGTGTCATTGGATTGATCGGTCTATCCTCCATGGCCCGTTGTGTCACGTCAACCAAGGTCGTGGTCAACGGCCGCGTCATCTCCTGCACTGGGCAGCGTCGCGAACGCTCAACACCAATCTCTCTGTTTCGTCACTATCATAGCGATGGCCTCCAACCTAATAGCGATGGCCTCCAACCTATGTTTCTTCTGCAATTTCTTCAGTTCAGTGTAGAAAGGAAAAATAAATGCATCATCATGCCTCGTCTCCACTTTCCTGTACCCCCCTGCAGTCTGGAACAGCAGCAAACAACAAACAAACCCTGGAAGACTGATTGAGGCAGGCTTCTTTGCAAACGCTTTCGCTGAGAAGTTGGAGCATGAGACTTGAACATTCCTCATACGCTGTCCTCCGGATTGTAGTAGAAATCCAAGGTTTCCTCTGGGCCAAGTCATCAAAATCACCAGACCGCAAAACCGTTCTCGCAAGGCCTGTCTTCGCCCCTACAAACTCCTTCCTTTGGAACGCCGCCAACATATAGACTCCGTTGAAGCAAGACGCAATGTCAAGGCTTCTTGACACCAAGTCTCAATCGCTAGCTTCTCGTTGACTTTTGCCAAGCACAAGCCCGCAACGTTGACCATGTCCTAGGCTAGCAGGCCACGGAAACATCGTTTCAATGAGCATGGGATGAGGTCCAGAAATTGAAAAATGTCATGTGACTGTGATGTTAGTGATTTCCAAGGTTGTAAAAATAAATGCCGGTCCGAAGACCAACAAAACGTTTACAAACGGAAACAACTTGTGTAAATGTTTCTTAAACATGCTTCTGTGTAAACCTGATCTGTGACAAGCGGGATGTCTCTCAGGTCGCCACTCCGTTGCCCTTGTACTTCTTGCCATTCTGAGCAAGAATCGTTCAATGAAAAGAAAAGAAGATAAGTAAAAAGGCAAACGAATCGAATAGATGTGTTTTCTCTTTTTACTCCTTTTTTACATAGAAAACTCTCAGAACTGAAACCTCTTACTCAGACTGTTCCCCGTGGTCAGACTCACTAGAACATGTTCCAAAGCGATTTGGCTCTCATCTCCAAGCCTTGCTCCGAAAAGTGCCACTATACTTCGCAAAGAATCGCCACTTGAAGAGCAGGTTTGGAGGTCCGGTGTAGACCTTCCAGCGGGGGCATCATTTGAGGAAGTGCAGGCCTCTACATGCGATGGCCTCCAACCGCATGCGGCCTCCCCCATGGTTCAACCCTTCAACTACGTTGTGGATTCTTCAGAAAAAGGGTTCTCGGCCAGTTCTCGGCCACAGGCTTCGGACTGACTTGGTACAGGGATCCCTCCAAGGGTTGGGGATTGAACATTCCGAATGCCCTCTAGATGAACCTGCTTGCAAGACGCTTCCGCTGTTAAATGTGTTCATACTTGCTGGGCTCATCAAATGATTCAAAAATAGAAACAAACGCACCGCCATCACCACTGCCGTCCTTTTTTGTCCACCCATGTCCGCTGGCCTCAAGCACTTCCCAGGCGACACCCTCCGGAAAAGCGTCACTGAAGATCTGGCGGAGTAGCTCGCAAGACAGACTTCAAAGGCTGTGGTAAACAATATATTTCAACCAGACAATCTTCATCTAAGAATTCGCCGAAATCCCCGCGAGGTAAAAATCTCACTGTTGCCTTGAAAAGGCTCTAAAACGGACTGCAACTGCTTGTCATAGGCTTTAGAGCAGCCGCCTGGCGCGATGCCTCGACAGAGGCAGCTGAGCCAGAGTAATCCTCGGCATCGTCATACAGATTTGGAGCACGGCGTAAAGTGTTGGCAGGAAATGTCATAGGAAATTCGTGGATTCACTTGTTTCGAAGTGAGCCACTACGGTCTCGCCAAGGAGGATATTCAATGCCCCAATCTCCGACATGAGCTGCGCATTGCAGGGGCAGCCGCCATTCACCGCCAGCTGAGAGAGCGGAGCAATGCGGAGCATGACCGAAGCGATTTCTCAGAGTTTAAGCGGTTTCATTGCGACCGGTTCGAGATGAAGACATAATTACTGTAAACAAAAAGGAAGACAGAAGTTTTAAAAAATGAAAAGAAAGCGTTCAAGACGTCTCTTGTTACAAATGTGGTCGTGCAAATGTTAAGGCATATGCGGAGCAAAAAAGAGATGAAGATATAAGCGCAAATCAAGGATATGGCCGCTTCGGGTCTTGAAATCGTACTGAATCTTCGATGCAAACATGTCATCATGTCGAGGGGGCCTTGAACTTTGCGGTGTCCATGGTCTTCCACTTGTGTACATCCTGCAAGTGGAAATTCACGTAATAATATGAACTGTACAAGGTTGAGAACTAGGACAGAAAGAAAGGAGAAAAGAAAGACCTTTGAAGAAAGGAAGAGAGGAAGAGAGCAAGATGAGCAAGAGAGGAAATGAGAAACAAAGAAAATCTTGGTGTTGTAACCCCCTACTCATTGACCTTTCAAACAAGAGCTGGTTCCAGGTATTGAACTTCAAGGAAAAAAACCATGCTTCCATGCTTCTTTCGTGTTCATTTGGTTTGCTTGTCGCAGTTGGCACAGCTGAATTGGTCCGAGCTGCTGCGACGTTGTCAGCTTCCACTTGGCAGTTCTTCATCAGTTTCTGTACCTCAGACTCTTTAGACTAACTTAGACTTGGACAGAGGCATGAAGTCTGTCTTCACTCTCTTGGATCCATGACAGCAAACCTGGACCTGACACCTGCTCAGAAAGGAGATGAATCGTTGAGTCTCTTCCGTGTTATTTCATGAATTGCAACACAATTCATGAAAACGCAGCCATCCCGCCAAATATGCCAAGACACAAGGGCTTCCAAAGAACCCTCTTGATGGGCAATGGTGCGGTGATTAAAGTACGTGGTGTTGACCTTTGCCTCAACACTTGCTTGCATGCCGGAGACACAACTCTTCAACAGCGAAGGTATGGAGGAAATGTGGCAAGTGAAGATGCCAACAAAGAAAGGCCTATTCATAAAGAAGGTGTTGTTCCATGGTGTTCCTTTGTCAAGCGCCCCTACAGGTTCGAGACAGAGAACTGCTTAAGGATGCGGCGTAGTCGGGCCGGCCAAAGCGCCATGAAACACCGTCTGCTGGCGCATAGTCGCGGATGAGCTCGCCCTGCGTCGAGCCCTTGGACCTGAGGACGTCGAGCCCAAGGGACACGTCACGCCGTCACTGAAACAAACATCCTGTATGATAAATCCCCTCCAGCCGACCCACCATAGAGGGACGTAAAAATTTAACATGGATCAGGCCTATCGCCAGAATGATGTATAACTACTATAAGTAGACTATAAGTACATCTTTTGGGCGAAAGACATCAGTTTGAATAACTTGTGGCCCAGGTGGGGTGGTGAAAGCTAGGGGAAGAAGCAGCGCTGGGGCGGTGTTGACGGTGGTTGGTGCAAACCGTGGTTTGGTGCAAACCGAGCAGCAGCAGCAGCAGCAGCAGACAAACAGCAAGCAGCAAGCAGCCAGCAGCAGCAGACACACATAGAAACAGCAGCAGCAGCGGCAAAGAAGCAGCAACAGCAACAGCGACCACGTTGGGAACTGAGAAACGGTCAGGGGGGAAGGGGTGAGTTGAACCCGCAGAGGGGGGGTATATCCCTGATATATTAGGGGTTAGGACTCAGGTCCTGGCTTCCCAAGTTCCCACGCAAGCTACAGCAGCTAGCTTTCGTGACAAAGAACTGAAGAAATCACCCACCGATACACCTTGCACCCTTGTGCACGTGCCCGAAGTCTAAGAGAAGTGGACACCTGGAAGCTACTAGGAGCAAGGACGCTACTAGAGGCGCTCCTGGCCTTACTACTAGGAACAAGAAGCTACTAGGAGCAAAGGGCATTGCTACTAGGTGGACACCTGGAAGCGAACTTCTTTCTGAGGAAGCGAACTCGTCAGAGAGTGGCTGCGCCATCGGCTCTACTTACCCGATGGTGACCGTGACCCTTTCGGTAGCTGTTCTCTTGCGGTCGTCCGGTCGTGCCATGTCGTGCCATGCTGCATGGATCTTGACCCGTGACACGGTTCGAAAAGATTAGGATTGGTAAGTCTTCTGGCCCCGCTTCGGACATAATTGGCCAAGGCATATCTGTCATGTGCTGTGAGAGGTTTGAAGTTGCCAAATTTGAGCCATTTGCCAAGCATTGGGTATATGCATACAGCACAAAGCTGATGATTGTTTGTTTGACTGGGTCCAAAGAAATACGGTCCCAATGATGAACACCTGCTCCAGAAAGCTGACTGATTTCCCCTTCTTTCCGTCCCTTGTGTCCCCTTGGCTATGCGGCTATACTTGTCCACTTCTGTTGTCATGGTCACTCTGAGCTAGTTGGATTGCCTTTTCTTCAGAGACGACTTCATCATCTCATGTGAGCTCATCAAGCTGGGCCTTGGTCCCAACCTTGGCATTTGCAAGGGAAGTCTATCCGTGACTTGCAAGGCCTAGGGCCCAGAACTAGAGCTGAAGAAAAGACAGTAACAGGGGGTAGTGGAGAAAACCTTACTGTAAGTGTGATGATGGCCTTGGCAAATATGGGCTAATCAAGAGTAAGCAGCAAGCACCTAAAGATTATCTTCCTAGGTCGCAGGGCCCTTGTCAAGTCAAGATCTGAAGCTGTCTAAGTAGAACAGCATGACGACATGACGCAGCAGAGTCGACAAGCTCTGTTCGCTAACAGGTCCAAATGGAAACCACAACTTTCGGAGTCCAAGGAACACCAAAGCTGTCCACGATTTCTTTGATTTGCGGCGCCTCTTCTTTCCAGCTTTCAGAAGGCACACTGCATTCCTTGAGATCACGGTTTCAACGGTTTCAACTAGTGATTTGTGTTAGTCAGGGACATCCAACACAAGTTGTCGCAGAAAATGGGCGCTTGGGCACTTAAGCAGTCGTCCATCTATCAAGAACACAAGATGTCGCCGCTCGCCATCAACTGAAGCGGGAAACAAAGCCTGTAATGCTCAAAATACTAGGATTTAGATGGATTTACGGTAATTAATGGGTCTTTTAGACACACGATGATTCGATTCCAACTTATTTCCTGCCGGACATGTGGTGACACTGCTTTGGTTGAGGTCTTTGAAATTGGAAGGTGGGCTATAGCAAATCCAGTGTGGAAATTCATGTTTGGGGTCTGGCATACCCAACTTCCATACAGCAGTTGAATGCTGTGGACATGCACCCTGAACCTTCTGAATTGGTGTTGTTGCAACAGGGAATGCCTCTACCCTAAGAGGATGTAGTCACATCGTGTTGACCAGGACTGATTTGTTCTGCAGTTTCAGAGGCCTATGCAATCCTCAACAAACAGAAGACATCGTTTGCCCATGTTTGCCCTACTGAAATCATTGAAACCCACAAGTTGATTCATTCATATTGATATATTGCACGTTCCATTGCAGTATCTATCTATATTCACTGAATATTCCAAGACGGCCATTTGCATGACGCATCCAAGGTTCCACAATCCAAAGAGCATACGGCTCATGGCCATCGGTGGAGGTCACCGTTGTGGCCACCTCCCAATGCCTACGGACGATAATGGCGGACGGCATGCATGGAAGGCCCGACCTGGCACACCTGGCATATGTGGCATGGCCTGGCTTGGCTTGGCATGGAAAGTGGACCTCTATTCACATCTGTGGTAAACTCAAACTAAGCCGCTTTAGCCGGAACACATCATCTTGAAACCTGGAAAACACTTCGACTATTGCCAATTTGCTCTTGAAACCACACCGATTGATAAGTCTTTTGTGGGACATGGATATGCCGGTAGTCAATGTTCATGTCCATGTTAATAAGAAAACAAACAAACAAACAAACAAACAAAACCAAACGAAACAAAACCAAACAAAGCAAAGCAAAGCAAAGCAAAGCAAACAAACTAAACTAAGCTAAACTAAGCTAAGCTACAACTAGCAAAAACAAACAAACTAACTTTAACTAACTAACTAACTAACTAACTAACTAACTAACTAACTACACCAATCCATCTCCCCACTACGGGTGCCTCGCAATTGCTTCGAGTTTGTCCTCAGTGCCCGGCCTTGGAACAGCTCGTGGCTTCAAAACTCTGCGTGAACCGAAATGAAAAGGATTGCAGAAGCCTAGGCCGCCGAAACCATGAGTCGTCCCAAGTATAGGTCTTGCGACACGTCATTGTCAAAGAAACTAGTTCTTTCATTTTTTTGTGTACTCCGAAAGGGCAAATCTCGCACTCCTAACAAACACGATTTCATGACCGCCGACTGATCCCAGCGTCAGATCACGGAAGGGCGTAGTCCGCAGCCGCGCGTGCGCTATGAACTGAAAGGTAGGCAGTGAGCAGTGGGCAATTCTGCCAGCTGCAAGACACATCACTTTGCCAGCGATTCACACTTCGAAGCAACTTGGCAAAATCATACAAGGCCTGCGCTATTATACGCATTTGATAGTAGTAGTAGTAGTAGTAGGAGTAGGAGTAGGAGTAGGAGTAGCAGGAGCAGGAGCAGGAGCAGGAGGAGTAGTGGTGGTGGTGGTAGTGGTAGTAGTAGTAGCGTTTGCTTAAACATACACTTCAATCAATGCCGTTCTTCTTCGCACACTCACACATGATCCTTTTTGGTGGGGGGCCAGGCTGGCAAGCCTTGGAGAAAGAGATTGTGAAACTCCTTCCTTCCTTCCTTCCTTCCTGCCTGCCTTCCTTTCTTCCTGCCTTCTCTGGATTTGCTTTTCTTGATCCCTATGTGTTGTGTTTCTGATCCCTATTTTTGTTCAATAACCTAATGTGTTTTTTTGATCTTAGTAAATAAATAAAGAATGTGTTTCTCAAGACTTGTCTTTCACTGCATACTGAAGAGAAGTTATATTATATAATCTGCTTCGCTTGGGGGCCCATAAAAGAATTCCAACATCAAACCTGCTGACTTTGTCCACCTCAACAACTTTGCTGTGATCGCCCCACTGGCAAAGAGTTCAATCATCGAGGGGTTGTTTGTTAGCTTCATCAAAATCTGATTAAAAGGCACTTGAGCCAAAATGGTTACAGTCTGTCCACTGTCTGCCAACACACAACTGCCACTGTCTGCCCACTGGTTCAGCCACTTGGAGCTTTGCTTTGCGCAGTGGCCCACTGCGCATCTGGGATCCCAAACTTGACGCAGGCTCGCTGGCCTTCAATCTCTGCCTGTGCGCCTTCACAGCGTGCAACGCTGAAGCCATACCTCAGAGATGACTCGAGACATCTCGAAACTCCACTCGATTTGACCTTTCTAAGGGTCTTGGACCTTGGACTTGACAGCACTTTATCAAAGAGATGAAAGGAATAACAATAATTTTTAAAAGAGTAGGAAGCAATGCGTGGGGAGTCTGGAGCGCTGACACGCCTCAGGATCCGCCCACTGCTGCGGTCCACCACTTTGGATTTCAGAAGTTTGAAGCCTCAACTCCGAAGCAACTCTGAAGCCTCACGTTTGACTTGTAACTTGGAATGTGTCCCTAATAGCAATGGCCTCCAACCTAGCGACCTAGCGATGGACCCTACACGACTCAGGCGTCTCATGGCGTCTCACACGACTCGGTGACGAGGCACGGAAGGTCGATGGCTTCTTCTCATAGCTCTTGCTCAAAGCCTCTGCGGCCTCCTCCTTCATTCATTCGACAAGCGTCGGTTGCCGTCAATCCACAACCCATGAACCTAGGCGCCTTCGTCATAGTGGGCGCTTTGGACAGGAAGAAATCCAGAGTATTGGACTTGCCTCAGGACGACCCAAAAGGGTTTACAATGTCTTACATACATTTCCCAAAACACAAGTCTTGTCCTCTCCAACTGGAGTAGCTAAGAGGCTACTTCCCACGGAAGCTCGGAGAACTTTGATTTCAGACCTCGGTGTTTCAGGAAAGAAGGCATTTCCGCCGTTTCCCTCCTTTCATGTTTTCTGTTCAAGCTTCTGTTCATAGCGCTGGGGTGTATGTGTTTTCCGCGCTTGTATCTGGTTTGCGATGCGCACAGCCTAAGAAAACGCCACTTTGGACGCAACTTTGCGGGCCGACCTTTGGCCGGAGAACCGTGAATAGGCCCTGGCATCAAATGTGAAAACCCTGCGTCACATTGGTCGCAAGGGTCTCCATCCGCCAGCCATGTTGGGCGATCAGAAAGTTGAAGCCATAAGTGGCTACGGCAAAAATGCCGGAAGCCATGGCTGCCAAAATCCGGCCCTGCATCATAGTCCCTGCATCGATGTCGGCCAGGAGCACTGTCCTCAACTGGCTGAGAGACATCGCAAAGGAGGGGAGGTCCCGGAAGAACAAACTTTTTGGCACTTCGTTCAAATATTGCAGCAACTGGTTCAAATTGAGCTGTGGAAAGCGTGTTGGCAGTGCGCTTTGCGCTTGCAACCACTCGTCGGTCCGGCAGAGCTCGGGGAAGGGCACGGAAAAGCAAACCTCTCTGCAAGGTGTCCCATCCAGGCTGTGGATGTAGCACCACAAGGAGATGCTGCTTTGAGTCCGAAAATCTATTGGCAGGTCTGGCATTCCTCTTCTGATCAACCCTACCGGAGACAAACTCCAAACAACATCAAAGACAAAGTTGTTATTTCCGTCTTCGGTTTGTGAGGTGGTTGCGGTCATGTCTTCGGAATTCGCTTCCGTAGCATCTCCAAGGCAAAAACTCAAGATCGGAAAGGTGTCGGCCACGTCGGCCATGCGAGGATCGCTTGCTGTTGCGCGATAGTCCATTTGAACCATGATTCGGCCCGGGAAGATGGTGACCTCGCGGAGGCACAAGGAATGTGTCAAGGTGCAGCTGCTTTCGGGCACTTCGTCTCCGACTGGCTGCCTCCACATCCGTTGAGGGTTCGTCAAGGAGTCTGGACCAAAGCTTCCCATTGACGGGGCGAAGCTGACTGATTGTTTAGAAGCCCCAACTTGAACTCCTGGTGGCCCTGGCGCCGAAGCCTGTGGCGAGGGCATCTGCATGGGTTGCATGCTATCGACCGACGATTGCGACCGCACCGGAGTCATGGGGGCTGGAACTGACGACACCACAAAGTCTGGCACCTGGTCCAGGTGCACATGGTGTGGGAAGTAGCCATATAGTACGGAGACCTCAAGCGGAAGCTGCTTCAAAGGACTCCTCTGCACCAGCTTGTTGTTAAGATCCATGGCTTGCCATCCACCGGAGAGGAAACTGGTGCCCAGCTTTTGACGTAACGCTGCTACGTTAATGGTCTCACAAGCTGCCACCAACTGAGGGATCTCCCACACACTCCGGAAAGGCAGGGGCTGGAGTGTCTCCTGGGAACGCATGGTCGAACCCCAAAACATTACACGCCATCTGCTCCGTTTTGATAAGGAAGAACCCTCACCAAACCCACCCATCCACCCACGAGTGAGTCAGAAAGAGAAAGTACATATATATATAAAGACTCATCCCGGTTACTCCTTTTCACCTTGCAGTGCAGACCTAT